CATTTATTTCTTTTTTTCCCGTCTAATAATTGGAATATTTGTAGTGCAAACTAGATTCGACAAGATCATAATTACGACAAAATAAAAAAAAACTACCTTACTCATAAATTTGTTATTGTTTTTCTCCTATTTATTAAAAGAAAGAACACGTTATAATTATTCAATTTTTGATAAAATGTGAAGGACGTCAGACGGGGAAAGAACATTCAAGTGATTCAAAGTCATAATGGGTCTGTTGGTCATATATGCATCTCTTCAGACTCTTGTTAAATTCAAGATTAATAATTTCTCCTGTAGGTCATTTCTGCTGAAAATAATGTGCTTTTGTTAAAATGACATAATGCTCATTTGTTCGTTGTCAATTTGCAGGTTTCATAACCTCAGATCCCCTTTTAAAATTCAATTTTATTTTATTCCGCTCATTGTTTTCATGTTTGGAGCACATGTATTCTTTTACATGTGGACCATACGGTGCTAAGGGGAATGGGCGGTAATTTGCGGGTAGAGAATATTGAAGAAATTAGAGCTTATAAAACAGTTCAAGCAAGACATTGTCATTTGATCAAGTAGAAGATAACGAAATTGGGGTCTGATAAAGTATCTTATGAGACAGGTCAGGCTCAGCCATCGGTCCTGGCCTCAGATGTCTAGCCAAACCAGCATAACGTGGCGCTTTTTTATGAAGAATCAAAGATCATAATTATGGATAATATATGATAGGATGTTATGTTTAGTCGAAAGTTTTTGAGATATTGTATAAAACACATTACATATTATGCAACCATCGTAATAAAGAATTACAGCAAAATCTGATAATAGAATAAAATTGTTGATAAATAATACCTTCGTGATATCAGGCGCTTCTTGTACATGATGAGAACTTTTGTCGAATATAACGGAGAGGTATTAATTAAATTAATGTATATGAATGTTCTAAATTATGTAATCTGAATAGTGCTATATTGCCAAGAAATTTATTTGATATGTTTATATTTTTAATCATATAACAGTAAGTCACGTTTCTGGAACTTCATTTATCATGTATCATTGAAATACATCCTGAAAAACTGAAACAGGTCAATTCTTGAATAAACCAGTTCACAAACCATTCTGATGTTTGACCTCGTGCTCACCTCCTGGTTTACTTTCTGTTCAAGTGTTTGTATAATTGTGAAAATATTTTAAAACATAATTTAATCCTTTTGCATTCAGTCATTATTTATGATAAAAATATTATATAAGGAAATATTTTTTTATCAGGAATTTGTTATAAGACATAAATATAAAGTCGTGTTCTGATGATTTACTATTAGATATTCAAAAGACAAGTATTTCTAAAACAAAACATATAAAACGCATATTTTGGTTTTAATTATTTATCTTAAAATGTTATATACTCGTAGTTATTGTGATATTTACAAAGCAGAAACTGACATTTACAAATTTCAATAATTAAATATAAAATACGTGTATCCGCATACTGGAAGGGCAAATAAAAAATGTTGGCTGAAATAACATCAATGTTAGAATTCTATGTAATTATGAACGATAATGTAACAGCAATCTTTTAATGAAAAGAATAAATAAGAAATGAAAACACTATAGGAAAAGAAGTGTGAAATGAAATTTATACCCAAGATACTGTTTGCTTGGGCAAAAAGTGGAGTAACGATTGTTGCATAACACATTCTATTGAATTAATGTGTTACTCGTATATAATCAAAATTCAATTAATATAGATAATGTTACTAAGAGATTTGGAATTTTCATTTACAGTTAAAAAAATGAGAACAAACGTTCAGTGCTTTTTACCACTTAAAGAAGCAAATACACAGATACAGTAATAAAATAAGAATGATAACCATCGTCACTTCAATCAATATTCATTATTTTGATTCCGTCTTGATATTTAAATAAAACGTCAATTTTGAAATTCAAAAAAAAAATACCTGCCTTACTGTGCTTGATCAACCTCACAACTTACATCAATTTTCATGATTTAAAAATTCCGTCTAGGTATTTAAATAAAATGTCAATTTCTGAATTCCAAAAAGATACTTGGCTTACTGTGCTTGCTTTTGATCCGACATGTATACAAGTACTTTTTATAAGTTTTATTGAATTACTTGTTTTAGAAATATCAGAGTAAAAGCTAATAACATGATATCTTGAAGAACAAAATGGCAGAAATTCGCCAAATATTTATTTATATCTGTCAAATGTGGCCTAGTGAGCCTCAATTATTTTTTGTATTAAAATTATTAGAGCAATAAACGCCAGGAGACAATGATACGTGACAGTTTGATTCTTGTGTTGCAACATTTCCCAGTTTGTGTCATTTTGCAAGCTAAAATGATGATTCAGGAAAAGCGGGGTAAGGCAATAATCTGATAATTTGTACATAAGTTATTTGTTCAACCCTATATCAAATTGTATTGCAAACCTCGGCTAATGTTTATAGTCTCGTCATGTCATAAAAAATCATTACAATTTAATCAATATTTCTTATACACATGTTAACAGATACAAACAAACTCGATTGAAATAACAACACACATTTGTTTTTTGAATGCAATGATCTGTAGAATACAAAACTGTAAGCTCGCTAATACATCCGTAATCGTATATCCCTTAAAATTCCTGAGTTATTATATTTATAAAAATAATTGATTTATGATGCAACATGGTAATTAGCGTAGCTATGTGACGTTTTACATAAAAAAATCGTCTCCCTCACCATTACGTGCCGTATATCATCATATCCACTATATCTCTGTTCTCCTTCCGTTGTTCTATAGACAAAACACGTGCAAATAGCTCACTTTGTACCTTAATTGATTAAAAGACCAATAACCGTTTTCCTTGACTTTAATCACTGCCATGCCTTGACCTATTTTTGTGCCGACGCTAATAGTCATAAATACACAGAGTAGCAAGTCACGTGTCATATCACGAGTCATACAGTTCATTAATCTTAAAATTAAGTCTTGATACATCCACTTTGATTCTTTTTGCTGTCAGAAAATGTATCAAAGGTTGTACTTTATGTCTATAGAAATGCAATAACAACCATTACCAAATTATAGAACAAGCAAACAAGATAATAGTTTCCACTGTTGAGTAAAACGTTGATGTTGATAGAAGCTAATATTATCGGACACGTGACAAGTGTCAAAATACGTTTTTGTCAAAGTATTCTTCAAAAGCCTAATGATAACTTTCAAGCTTCAAGCTGATGAAGGAAGACCTTGATGCAGCTCCGGACAAAATATCAAGCATTAGCTGACGAAGTTTTGCGACCTTCTTCAAGCAAAACAAATAGTTTTCTAACATTTAAGAATCCAAATCTCCTAAGAGAGAATCACAAAAGTGAGGGTAATTAATTTGAAGACAGAGACTGTTTCATCTAGGCTACATAGGCCCTGTACAAAATAAATATATGCAACGTGATGAAACCGTAATAAAAAAGATCGTTATGTATTTTGTAACAATATTTAAAGTTTTTTAACCTTCATCCTTCCATTTTCAGCTTTAGATCTTTAGATTCATTTACGGCTTATACTGAATCTAGTTATAGTTTCAAAAACGAAGATATTCATTTGCCTTTTACCTGATCCATTTCTTGTTTCTATTGCTTTTTGGCAATTATAGTGATTAAGTATTTTGTGTCTTTGTTTACATTTTATACCAACTACTAAATCACTTTAACTATAGTAATTATTGCCCCCCCCCCCCCCCGAAAAAAAGAAAAGAAAAAAAAAACGATAGAAGAAACAGATTGTTCAGGTATTCGGTCAATGCGCAACTTTTTTGAAACTATAAAAGTACAACAAAAATTAAAAAAACTATTGGGAAATAAACATGAAAGCATTTCTGATGCAAAATGGGATTAAAACAAACCATTTAGATTACCTGTATAGGTAAGATACTTAAGGGTTAGTAGCTTGTAAACCTCAAATTAATTAACACACGAATAAATAATAATTAAGGGATAACAATCATCATCTCTAAAACTCCATGTCTTTAATAGGACCAGATTTACATATAGGTGTTAATACCTTGTTTTATACGTTAGACATAAGTTCATCATTGTTTAGAAAAGATAATTATAAGTCAAAGAAGGTAATTAATTGAACTACTGTGATTTAGTGTTTACCGCCGTATGGGCTAACGATTGGTGATGTCTTCACTTACTTCTACTTTGTCTTCACATATAGTATGGATATGGGGAAATAACTTCTGAAGTATAAAAATGTACTCTTGCTGCTGTGTTAGAAATATTGTAATCAATACTTTGTTTAAAGAGGCCTTCATCTTTTCTACAAGTTAAATATGATATTTGTAGATACATCGTTTCATATAGTTGTCAAATCAAACGATTTAAGATGGAAAATGAAATTTACCGAAGATAAAATACATAAACAGTACCTCTATTCTACCGGTCCGCTCTCTATAAATTAGTAAATCGAACGATTCCTTTCCCGATCTCTATTTCTTAAAACGAACTTCACTTACATGCGATTAATAATCTTTGTGACTCTGTTTTGAAGAAGGCTTACCAGTGATATGACGCTCTTTTCAAGATAAAATTACTGAAATACTTATTTCAAAATATTTTTCCAACAGAAAATAAAAGCTGAAGGCCGCTTTAATTTAAGTTGTAAATTTATATTACCGTGATTGTGAAATGTTCAATGAGAACAAGCGTCACCAGTGTAACTTGCCTCTCTGCGACAGCCTCAACTACAGGCACCTGTGTTTTCCCGATATCATTTCTCTTTTACCTGCAAAGACTTTCATGATACGAAACAAACGTATAGGAATTCCTTTACGGCGTAAAGGAATTTGACAAGGAAAATTGTCTTACATTATCTTGAGATATCAAAACCTTCTGGCGCTTTTAATTATGGGAAAATGTGTTGTAGATAATGTGATTTTGTCTGAATTATAAAATAAGTTTAATATTCAATGTAGATAAATTGATATTTAAAAATTCAAATATGAATATTTACAAAGTGATACTTGTACTTTTATTGCATTTTATCGGGCTTGATTACTGTGAAAAGACGAAATTATATGTTGGTGTTTTATTGGAGCTTACAGAACATTGGTATGTAAGATACACAAACTTTTTCCCGGAAGTATTTAGATACGGATTCGAAGGGGTTGATAACAAATCTGATATTCTGTCCGACTACACAATCGAATTAGTGATAAGAGATACAAAGGTAAGAAATGTGAAATCGTTCTGTCTTATATTTTCTTATCTTTTATACAATTTGAAAAATTGGATAATTAGGAAGAGTAAGTCAAGAGTAACCATTATTACCCACCAAGTACCGGCTTAATTTGTACATTGCTTTCAAAATCAAACATCATTTGAATACTTAAAGTGACATTATGCCCACCCAGGGATATATAATGAGTGAAGGGATGGCTTGCAAAATAAGTTTACATTTTGCCATAATTCCTTTAAACTTTATAAATTACTTAGCATGATCGATAAATAACTCATGTGACCCAAGGGAATTTCTTGAAATATCCAAGTGAATTTATCTGAAACCGTCAACTTTTAACATTTACATATAAGGCTGATTTATATTTTATCCTAAACATTTTCCAACATCAGGTGTTGGTCAATCACCATGTTAACAGTCAATCTTTTGAAATGTTTAGTCAATTCAGCTCAACTATGAGCCTAATGTCAGTTTAAATGTCTGTCTAAGCAACGTCAAAAAAAACTTTTCTTACTGAAAAATGGAATTCTTGATGAAATTTTGCAATCTGATAATTTGTTTTATCCTCAAAATTTCAACTTTTATTTAATAGTCTAAATTTATTTTTTATATTTTTTTTGTATAACAATAGTTAAACTAATTATGCCCCCATTTCGAAGAAAAGGGGGTATATTGCTTTGCACTTGTCGGTCCGTCGGTCCGTCGGTCCGTCGGTCCGTAGACCAAATGGTTTCCGAGTGATAACTAAAGAACCCTTAGGCCTAGGAACTTCAAACTTGGTATGGTGATTGGTCATGACCAGTAGATGACCCCTATTGATTTTGGGGTCAAGGGGTCAAAGGTCAAGGTCACATTGACCTTGTAAGCAAAAACGGTTTTCGACCAATAACTAAAGAACCTTAAGGCCTAGGAACTTCAAACTTGAAATGGTGATTGGTCATGACCAGTAGATGACCCCTATTGATTTTGGGGTCAAGGGGTCAAAGGTCAAGGTCACATTGACCTTGTAAGCAAAAACGGTTTCCGATCAATAACTAAAGAACCTTAAGGCCTAGGAACTTCAAACTTGATATGGTGATTGGTCAGGATCATTAAATGATCCCTATTGATTTTGGGGTCAAAGGGTCAAAGGTCAAGGTCACATTGACCTTGTAAGCAAAAACGGTTTCCGATCAATAACTTCAGAACTTTAAGGCCTAGGAACTTCAAACTTGGTATGGTGATTGGTCATGATCAGTAGATGACCCCTATTGATTTTGGGGTCAAGGGGTCAAAGGTCAATGTCACATTGACCTTGTAAGCAAAAACGATTTCCGATCAATAACTAAAGAACTTTAAGGCCTAGGAACTTCAAACTTGATATGGTGATTGGTCATGATCAGTAGATGATCCCTATTGATTTTGGGGTCAAGGGGTCAAAGGTCAATGTCACATTGACCTTGTAAGCAAAATCGGTTTCCGATCAATAACTAAAGAACTAAGGCCTAGGAACTTCAAACTTGGTATGGTGATTGGTCATGATCAGTAGATGACCCCTATTGATTTTGGGGTCAAGGGGTCAAAGGTCAAGGTCACATTGACCTTGTAAGCAATAACGGTTTCCGATCAATAACTAAAGAACTTTAAGGCCTAGGAACTTCAAACTTGGTATGGTGATTGGTCATGATCAGTAGATGACCCCTATTGATTTTGGGGTCAAGGGGTCAAAGGTCAAGGTCACATTGACCTCTTTGGTAAAAACGGTTTCTGATTAATAACAAAAGAACCCTTAGGCCTAGGAACTTCAAACTTGGTATGGTGATTGGTCATGACCAGCAGATGACCCCTATTGATTTTGGGGTTAAGGGGTCAAAGGTCACAGTCACATTGACCTTGAAGGTAAAAACGATTCCGATCAATAACAAAAGAACCAAAGAACCCTTAGGCCTAGGAACTTCAAAACTTAGTATGGTGATTGGTCATGACCAGCAGATGACCCCTATTGATTTTGGGGTTAAGGGTCAAAGGTCAAGGTCACATTGACTTTGTAGGTAAAAACGGTTTCCGATCAATTACGAATGAACCCTTAGGCCTAGGGACTTCAAACTTGATATGGTAATTGGTCATGATCAGTAGATGACCCCTATTGATTTTGGGGTCAAGGGGTCAAAGGTCAAGGTCACATTGAGCTCTTAGGTAAAAACGTTTTCCGATCAATAACTAAAGAACCCTTAGGCCTAGGAACTTCAAACTTGGTATGATGATTGGTCATGACCAGTAGATTACCCCTATTGATATTGAGGTTAAGGGTCAAAGGGCAAGGTCACATTGACCTTGTAGGTAAAAATGCATTCAAATCAATAACTTAAGAACCCTTTGGCCTTGGAACTTCAAACATGGTATGGTGATTGGTCATGACCAACAGATGACCTATTGATTTTGGGGTCAAGGGGTCAAAGGTCAAGGTCGTATTGACCTTGTATGTTAAAACGGTTTCCGATCAATTAACTTAAAAAGCTTAGGCCTAGGTACTTCAAACTTTGTATGATGATTGGTCGTGACCAGCAGATGACCCCTATTGGATTTTGGGGTTAAGTAAGTAAGTAAGTAAGTAAGTAAGTAAGTAAGTAAAGGCTTTATTTATCGAGGCTACACATTTGGTTTCCCAATCTTCCATGTGGGCCTCTAAGAAAAACATAATTTACAATATATACAACTACAATATTACAGAAATAATTGCAACAACATTGTAGTACAATGTACATTGAAATTATCAGAACAAGAAATACATGTTAAAATTTACAGTCCATTCATAGCATAATACATGTCAAAGAAGTACAAATTAAACAAAGTGGAAATATGTTTTAGTTGGTACATCAAATGATAAGATTCTAATTTTGTTATAAATGATTAATTTAATGATGAAAAATGCCAGGATAGATATATGAAGCTTGAAATTCCTGAACTGTTTTAGATTTTCTTATGTTAAGAGGGATATTATTCCATAATTTAGGGCCAGAGTATACTAGGGATTTTCTGAAAAATTCTTTCTTAGGTCGTGGAACAGCTAGGTCTGAACTATTTGTAGATCTTAACGTTGCGCTCATGTTTTTGGTAAACAAATTGGAATTTACTTTGCATGTATTGTGGATATGGTAGGTCATTGATAGATTTTAAACATTATGATTGCTTTTTTGTATATCATTCTGTCATCAAATCTCATCCAATTTAGTTCTTTAAACAAATCACTGGAGGGTGCATCGAAACTTTTATCTAGAATTATTCTTGCTGCTCTTTATGGAATTTTATGATTTCATTGATCAGATCATTGCTGCAATTGCCCCAGATAGTACAGCAATAATCTAAGTGTGGTAATATGTATGAGTTAAAGAATAGTTTTCTTGCATGTAAGTCTAGGTATTGCTTGATTCTGAGAAGTAGGGGTATAACTGAGAGTTGCATTTTTTAAGTATCATTTCTATTTGGATTTTCCATTTTAGTTTACTATCGACAAAAACACCTAGTAGCTTTTCGGTTTCAGAAAATTGGATCATTTGATCTTGAAGGTGTAAAGGTGGTAAATGAAGCTGTGTATTATTTGATGTAAGGTGCATTGCCTTTGTTTTCTGTGTATTTAAGACCATTGCATTTTGTATGCACCATTTGTTTACATGTTTGAGGTTGGTTTGAAGTTTATCATGTAGTTCTTGTGGTGAATGTCCTGATGCTGTAAGTGTGGTGTCATCTGCAAACATGTCTATTTCTGAGGTCTCTAAATGAAGTGGGAGATCAAAGGTCAAAGGTTAAGGTCATGACCAGTTATTCTTGATAACCCTTATTAATTGTTTGATCACTGGGTCAGAAGTCATGCATAATAACCTTATCACATGACTCATTGGCTGCTGATAGGGGGCATACATGTTTTACAAACATATCTTGTTAATAATTTTTTTTACTATGCTAGACGTTTTTAAAAGTAGCGAAATAAAATGAAAATATAATTCCGACAAATTCATACATAAAGATACTATGTAATTTACATTCTATACTGTTAATAATATATGCTATTAAAAACAGTTTTCATAACAAAGCAAACCCAGGGATATAAAAATGATATCATTTTTTATAATAAAATATATAATTTGAAACAAGAACACTAAATGGATGTAAAATGCAATGAGGCCGTATAATAAAATGTGTCTTTAATAGGAACGTTATTTCAAAATTAAATGAGAAAAACGAAATCCTTAAAAAATGCCCAAAACGGCAAAATTGAAAATGCCGAGGCATGACTTGATCAAGCCTATTTAGAGACGGTACTTGTGAGGACAATCTACGGTCCCACTAACCCCCTACCACTAACACTGGCTTTTGCAGAATTCAAATTTAACATGAAATTGTAAAAAGAAAATTTTTTCATAGAAACCGACAATTATTTCTGACTTCCTAATATGAATTATTACAAGGGTGTTTATGCCGAAAGTAATTTAATTAATCGTAGATTGCCTTGATGCAAATCATTTTTATTTGAATTTTCGTGAAATGGAAAGACAATGTTTTATTTTCTCTGTATACAACAAAACGGTATGTGCAACTGATTTCTTGTCATTTAGGTAATTTACTCAGACTCAGTATCGTGGGACCAGACTAACATTAAAACACGTTGTCTCCATCTAAAGAGGCACTGTGTTACATTGAACAAAATGCACCCGTATAAGAGCTGTTGCAATGCATTGTCATAAAACATCTGTTCATTTTCTTACCTTTAGATAAACCCAGCAAACAAGTGCATTTTGGAGAAGTTTATGTTTAAATTTGTAGGCTCTGTATTTTTTCATTTGAGATGATTGAGATAGTGCTGTGAGGGCGTACGTATGCCTTCCAAAACTTAAATGAAATTATATATATGTATATAATTATGCTTATAAAACAATTTTCAAACATCGAAGTATATGTAAAGTATGTACTGCAAATATTTGTACATATTATATGTAATCATTTAAATATATGCATTCATTTCTTATTGAAAATATTGACTTAGACTTTACAGAAAATAATTTTTTATTACCTCCATTTATTTACATGAAATGTTAAATTCGGTTATATCTTCATAAATAATGCTTTTTGACACTTACAAAATTGATAAATAATAATTTGAGCATCATATTTATGATATAAAAATTAAAAATTGTGTAACACGACTTTTAATTGCCGCTTGGTATCTTTTGTTGATAAGGCATAATAATCATCATGCCCGTTACCAAATTTAACCAAAATTAAAATTTTAACTATTGCAGCAATAAATACATCGTGTGTATTAATTGATTCAAGGACAACACGTTAACTTTGTCATATATAATCATATAGCAAACAACTTTGTCTATTTCTTTGCAATACAACGATGAAACGACTTTGGCCCGCTATAAAACTGACAAAACCTCGTAAAAACTCGTATTGATAAACTTCTAGTTCTATATTTTTGAATTGAAATTAAGAAATAATTCCCCCCAAAAAACCAAGTTACTTTTATATGTTTGAAAAATAAATCATTTATTTTTATAAATAACTAATAAAGAACTTGAAATCACATGATTTATTTCTCAACCGTCTGCGCCCATGAACCACTAATTAAAAATAAAAAAAAAATTCGAAACAACATTTTTTACCATTTTGTCAAGATGGCGGTAGAGAGATGTCTTAATTTTTAAGATTATGTTAGTGTTTTACTGTTGATACTTTGCTAATTAAAATGTATATATAGTTTGATTTAAACATATTTATTTAAGCTCAATTTTGTGAAACTAGTTCTTGAAACTTATATATCTTGGAACCAACCAGTACTGTTGTCATAAATTATGAAGAAACATGGTTGTGACCCGATTAGAGCTCAAACCCAAATCCCTGGGTTGAGAGGCAGATACCTTAACCACTAGGCTATTGCTCCCATTTTATATAGTTTAATCTAAACAAACTAAATTCGAGGATAAAAGGTCTCTAGCTGTGTAAAAGGGTATTGAACGTTGCTTTACAACATTTACATAACATTCTTGTAATTTGATTGAAAATATTGTTTTGTTCATCATCATTTCATGACATTTAACTTTCTACCAAGTCATCTGATTACAGGGGAAACCAGGATTAGCGCCGCTTTGACAAAGATTTACAAGAAGATTTCCTCCAAAATTGCTATTTTGGGACCTACATTTTCAAACCCCCTCACGGGACAGGCCAAATTGTTCCTTTCTATAACATTATAGAGGTACAAAATAAGTTCATAGTTTTCAAAATTTTAGAATTATCTTGTTATCATTCTTGTTGTGTTGCCAATGTGTGTATATATATAAGTGTAATGTCTCGAACGTAACACTTTAAATAACTGTCTGAGTTCTAAATTCACAAAATAAAGTATAGGCTTCTACACATTAATTCCTTTTGATAAAATTTGATATTGACTTTAAAATTAACTCTGTTTAAGAATATTCAACCAAGTTAGTCTTTTGAATAGTTTAATTTGATTATAAATTTTAAGCATTGTATTGTTACCATGCCAATAATACTTCAAATATTTCAATCCAATACTGACACCTGATGCATAACAAAAGTTTCCTGTATATTTCGTATATTTCATAACATTTTGCTGAAGGCAACGCGGATTAATGGGCTTATATATTTTTTTTTTATTTCAGCTGTCTTATATCGCAACAACAGCAACAACCACAGACCGATCTCTATTTTCAACACTTTTCAAAGTGAATCAAGTGGCAAATACACTAAATCCTTTAAGAATAAAGATGATGAAACATTTTGGATGGTCAAGAGTAGGGACCATTGCATACCAAGAGGAGTTTTCAGTTTCGGTCAGTTATTATTTCATCATTTTATTATATATCAAAAAAGTTGTTTTCTTTCCGATACATTTAAGTACATGTAAGGTTGTCTTTTCAACAATTTTCTTCAAAATCGAAAAGTTATCAAGTATCTTAAATAGAATATTTTATTTTCTAAATCACAGGCCGAATTATTTTTTATTATAAACATAAAAAGTTCAGTAAATTTCAAACATTTCATTTTCTAAATCACAGGCCGACTTATTTTTAGCTCACCTGAGCACGAAGTGCTCAAAGGTGAGCTTTTGTCATCACTCTGCGTCCGTCGTGCGTCGTGCGTCGTTCAAAAAATGGCGTCAAACTTTTCAAACAACATCTCCTCCTAAACTACATGGCCAATTGCAACCAAACTTTACAGAAATGATCCTTAGGTGGACCCCTTTGAAAGTTGTTCAAAAATTTAAATTCCATTAAAAACTCTGGTTGCCATGGCAACCAATAAGAAAAACTTACAAAATCTTCTTCTAAAAAACCGTAAGAGCTAGAGCTTAGATATTTGGCATGAAACATCTTCTAATGAGTGCCTACCAAGTTTGTTCAAATCAAAGCCCTAGGGTCAAAATTGGCCCCGCCCCAGGTGGGTCATTGATTTTCCCTATATGCATATAGTAAAAACTTAAAAAATCTTCTTTTAAAGAACTCAAAGAGCTAGAGCTAAGATATTTAGCATGAAACATGTTCTAATGGCTGTCTACCAAGTTTGTTCAAATAAAAGCCCTGGGGTCAAAATTGGCTCCGCCCGGGGGGTCATTGATTTTCCTTATATGTGTATAGCAAAAACTTAAAAAAATCTTCATTGAAAAAACCCAAATAGCTAGAGTTTAGATATTAAGCATGAAACATCTTCTAGTGAGTGTCTACAAAAGTTTGTTCAAATCAAAGCCCTAGGGTCAAAATTGGCCCCGCCCCGGGGTCATTGATTTTCCTTATATGACTGTGTATAGCAAAAACTTAAAATCTTCTTTGAAAAAACCCAGAGAGCTTTAGTGTTTAGATATAAAGCATGAAACATCTTCTAGTGAGTGTCTACCAAGTTTGTTCAAATAAAAGCCCTAGGGTCAAAATTGGCCCCGCCCCAGGGGTGTCCTTTGATTTTCCCTATATGCATATAGTTAAAAACTTAAAAAATCTTCTTTTAAAGAACCCAAAGAGCTAGAGCTAAGATATTTAGCATGAAACATCTTCTAATGAGTGTCTACAAAGTTTGTTCAAATAAAAGCCCTAGGGTCAAAATTGGCCCCGCCCCCGGGGGTCATTGATTTTCCCTATGTGCATATAGTAAAAACTTAAAAAATCTTCTTTTAAAGAACTCAAAGAGCTAGAGCTAAGATATTTTAGCATGAAACATGTTCTCATGGGTGTCTACCAAGTTTGTTCCAAATAAAAGCCCTGGGTCAAAATTGGCCCCGCCCCAGGGGTCATTCATTAGCTTGACTTTTTTTTTTAGATATATACATATATATATATACATATATATTTATATTTTATATATATATATATATATATAATATTATATATATATATATATATATATATATATTATATATATAGATATATATATATAGATATATATATATACATGCATACATATACAACCAAGTTTGTTCAAATAAAAGCCCTGGGGTTTAAACTGGCCCCGCTCCAGGGGCCTATATACAGGTGAGCGACTTTGGGCCATCATGGCCCTCTTGTTTATTATAACTATAAATTTCGTTTCGAACAAGATATTGAAGTATCTAAATCGATAAAATCATTCATTACATGAAGAATGTCAGCGTAACATTTGAAATTCTTCAAAAGTTCAACTAGGCCACCTCAAATAAACAAAAATACAGTAGATTATAAACGAAAAGTACTCAGAATCAAAATAAAAATCGATTTTAGTGCAATTTTGAATCTAAAGGGTTTAAACGCTTTTCATTAAAAGTCATTTGCACAATTAAAATCATCAATCTGCAATTGCAGAGTGAGCAAATGATATGAAATTTTGCATTAGAGTAATTGGTCCATACGTACAGCAAACAGTACAAGAATGTTGAAAAAATTCCATGGCACGCCATGTCAAAAACGCCAGTGGAGTCCGTTTAATTTTTGAAAGGTTGCTTGCTCTCTTAATAAGGATGCTGTTTTATAAAGAGGCACTGTCATAAATCATACATCACTCTAATGTAATGCACTGATTAAATAAAATTATTCGGTTAACAGTTAGTGTCAGCCTTTTAAACGGTTAGAACCACGCTTATACCGTTAAGACTTAATACTGCGTTAAGAAAACACGCTTATATATCTCCAAAGCATGTACAAAACCAGATTTTTTTGCGTGAATGATCGTGTTCACTGTACTACTGATAATAGAAATAAGGCAAATGTTCTTTTATACAACAGTAACGCTGATCAAGATATAATGATTTTTGTCCTCATTCAGTTATTCAAACATGTATCTTCATTTAACAAAAGAGTGTTGTCACATTTCGCACTTAAAGTTTCATTTCAATAATCTGATTTCCCTGGTGTGCCGGAAATATTGTGCCGGAAGTAACATTTTTTGTTTTGCAGTTCCTCTTTTCCTCGGAATATAATCATTTGCAATGAAACAAAGACAACAACAGCGGCGTATTTATGAAACCCTACGGTTTCCATTTCATAATTGTTAAGGATGAAAAAGAATTGAAGAGTTCTATAAATTTTATGATTCAATGTAAATGAAATTTTATAAAAGTTTATACGATTAAACTCAAAGAATGTGAATATTTTTCTGAACAGAACAGAATAATTATTTTGACTTAAGCATATACAGCTTATCATCAATCATGAAAATATGATACATGTACAATCAATCACATGCAAATGAAAATGGCAAAACAAGTTGTCAGTTGCATAGAAGGAAAATAATATACAATGTAATCAGTAAGAATAAAATCAAATTGGCAAATATATATTACACACAGGCCAACATTTGATATTATTAAACTTCAAGATTAATGTGATTGTTTCTTACTTTCAGAGCTCTTGAAATAAATATTGACAGTCTACACAATATTTTGATATTATTACAATCTAACAGTTCAATAAACTTAAACATGTTAGGACGATTTCTAAAGTAGTACGGAATATATAATTTTCTCAAGTCCTTATACTTCTCACATATACACACAAAATGAAATTGGTCTTCAATATCGTCTTTGGTACATATAACACACTTTCGTTCACTTCTTATCTGGTTTCTATGGCGACCCTGCTCTATGGCACTTAAAATATATTAGGCTCAAATTTGATATTTGTAAATACTGATAATTTCGGTAAGTCGCTCATAAACACATGTACGCACAGAAAAGAAATATTACGTTTTAATTACTATAGGTATAAAAACTTAATGTCAAAAAAAAAAAAATAAAAATAAAACAATAAACACTAACAGTTTTTAAGTAAGGACCAAATCAACAGGATTTGTTAATGAAAATGCAGCTCCAAAACATAATTTGTGCATTCTCTTATTCAAATAAAATTCAATAAGATTTGTTTTAGGTAAATTTCAGCAATTAAATTTATTTTATCCAAATATGAACATAATATATGTTAAAATCAAATTGAAAGAATACAAATGTCGGTTATTATTGAACATTCACAATATTTGGGATGGAGACTTAGGTATTTTAGCAAGATTTTGCTTCCATTGATTGTTATTTATAATAATTTTACAGGAAGTTATTCTTATTATTGAAAAAAGATGAGGGAATTAAAATATAGCGGGCCTTTAAGGTACTAAAGGAATAAAAATAAACGATGTTAGTAACGTTTCAACAATAATATCTATAACGTCAATAACAATCATAGTGCTTATTCTTTTTTACAAACTTACAAAATTACAAACGCTACGTCTTATTTTACCTTTCAATTACAGCAAATTGATGATTTTCATGATCGTCTGCGAGAAAATAATCTGACCCTAGAAACATCTGCCGTTATATCAGACACTAGCAGTATCGGTGATATTCTGAAAAGATATAAGGTGAGTAGCTGGTGACAGTCAGAATTTCATTTTGTGAAGACGATGATTGACAGTTGCTCGTGAAGTTATTTATCCGCTATCATCTAATTAAAACAGGAAAAAGCCTGACAAAATAGGGAAATAAAGTCATACTTTTATCTGTTTCAATGTAGAAATGTTTGTCATTTTAAGGAAATGGCGTCTTTCAGATAACATAGAAGATCACGCTGTGTCCTAACCTTACATTGTAAGGTTTCTCTGACGCAATAGTAGTCTTTTATCTATGCTAATTTCACGAAATGTCAGCGAAGTTACACAAAATACATCAAAAGTTGACCATTGATATTTTTTCACCATACCTTCAAAAGATATTGAACATTGCACTCTGCTGAGATGATCATTTATATTATTTAAAATTTGATAATCTAATGTCAAGAAAATGATGTTAAAAATATTCTTTAAGAAAATAATACATCATATTCCTAGAATTCAAAAATGCTTACGTGGGAATCATATTCCTAGAATTCAAGAATGCTTACGTGGAAATTCAAACGAAAGTATCGTTTAAACTAATACAAAGAGTAATTTGAGTAAATTAAGCAGATACTTAATTCTTTTACAGACGGAAGATAAACACAAATTTCACAAATCAATTTTATGTCCAGTTGCTTATTGAAAACATAACTATAATATAATGTAATAAGGTAAAAAAGTAAATCAATACACCCGTTGCATGCATGATGTGTTAAAGAACATTAACATGGTTAATAAAATAAATTATTTACACGTTTTGGTTAATATATGATCAATGATAAAAACAGAAACGTAGTATAGTAATGTATTTGAAAAGATTGCCATTTTTTTTAAAAAAAATAGACATATGCAAAAATAGTCAAAGATTATAGATCATGTTCAGGCCAACATAAAATGTGTTCATATTTTGATGCATAGCACAATGCTATTAATATGTTTTTATAAACAAATAACATTACTTATACTCTTGTCTTGATTACAATCATGGAGTCATGAAGAGTATCATCTGCCGCTTTTCTTTCTAGTATCATTCGCCATTTGTTGCTTTTTTCCATGAGTACATTGTCTAACGGAAACATTTTTTTGCCTTTATATAATATCAGTATATCATTTTATAAAGACAATAATTTATAGGTTCACAGAGTTAATATTTCGACAGTTTTGCCTTTAAATTGTTAAAGGGACAATGTTAAAAAGTGAGGAATACTGAAGGATAATTATACACACTATGGAAGTATTATTACGTTTATATGTATCGGGTGTGAACTCTACTTTTAATTAGTGAAATAAATCATCCAATGTGTTTAATTAAAGCTGATTTAATCAAATCATACATCATGTTTTTCTCTTCCTCTACAGCAATTCGGTGTCCGGATCATTATGGCAGCTTTCAGAGGAAAAGTTGCACCAAAAATATTTTGCGAGGTAAGTACAAACCAAACTACAATCCTTTTCCTTTTTTTGTTTTGTTGTTTGTTTGCTTTCTTTTTGTTGTTGCTTTATAATAATGTAAAAGAAATTGACAGGACAAAACAATAGCCTTGATATTTAGCAAATGGACTACAAAATTAAAAACTATCTAATTAGAAGTGTTGAAATGACTAAGGTTATATGATAAAATAATAAAAAAACCTATATCATACAATTAATTATTAATCATTGTTTTTAGTTGTTTTTTTTATTATTTTATCGTATAATCTAAGTCATTTCAAAACTTCTAGATAACAACAACGTGTGTGCATTATATGAAGTATAAAACATTGTTTGACCATATAAAATGTACTTTGCGTACGGTATTTTCAATAATAAAGCTATAGATAACAAAGTTGAGCATAATGTTACATCTCTTGACACTACAATTGTTAGCTTGTGTTTATATTTATGAGGTGACTTATGATATCTTACGATAAATAAAAACTGGATGTATTTCAAGTGCAAATGATCAGATACAAACCATCTGTGCTTATCTTAAATTCATATGAGATTGATATATTGTTATGACGGCCATCTTGGTAGTTATGCAGTTTGCCCTGTACATACATATTTCTTTTGTTTAAATTGATATTTGTTCCACGTTTTGTGCTTTTCCCATGTCTGATCTTGTTTTTATTACAAATTCACACTAGACTATAATCACTTTGTGTTACTCAAGCAAAATAAAAATGATCTTATTGTATGTGAAGGAATTTCACGTATGTATGAATGCATGAATGATTCGACACGTTAAACAATCAACAATTAAGAGCAACCCAATGTAAATTTGCCCTTGGATTGATGGAAAATAATATTTTAAGCTTTCTGTCCCTGTTCTTTATGTTCTGAAGCGCCATTGCTTGGACTGTCTTCTACTAAAAACACATCTCGTATTGACATAACTCATCTATATTCAGGTGTACCATCAAGGTATGTATGGTGATAGCTATGTCTGGATACTGTCTGGGTCAACATTGTTTGATGGCTGGATAGATGATGCTGACATGAACGAAATGGACTGCACTAAGGAAGAGTTAATTGAAGCAACTAATGGACATTTTACCCTTGATCACCTACGAGAAAGTACATCGGAAAAGCCATGTACTTCCGGAGAGGTATTTTTTTAAATCATTTTGTCATATTTGCAAACAGCAAATTGAAGCTTGTTTAAACGTTCGAATAATGGAAACACTCTCATATGATAATGTATCATTTATTCATTTAAGCACATTAAGTAGTTAGATTGTGATCAGACGTGCTTGTACGTCTAACAAATGACCTGAAGACTTTAAATGTTAATTAAAACCTACATTGTTCTCTTCCATAATTATGTAAATTAATTATTGTCATCCTCAGACCCCAAAAGAGGTAATGAATAAATTGCAAGATCTTGTGGAAGATACTAACTACGAAATGTCAACATTTATAAGTTGGATCTATGACACACCTTGGGCGCTCGCATTAGGTACGTTTTAATTCTAAATCTATGTTTTTAAATGTCGTTATAATTTAGTAATTACGAATATGTTTACTTTCTTTATTTGATCATAGTGAAGCATTCGTTAAGGTTTGTCTACGTTTCTGCCAGCTAGTTTCACCATAAACTTAAATATTAAAGCATTTAGCAATGTTAACATTCTTCAATCAGCTTGATTTCCATTTAATCTATGGAATTAAGACGGTTTCTTTTACACATCTTTAATTGTTTTAATCTTTAGACAATTCATTAAGTTCTGAATGTCCTATTTCTTAAAAACACTATCAGGGGCGTTCGTGACCGAGTAAAGTCGTTTTCTTCAAACCACTTGAACTTTACCGCTTTGGATTGTTTTATTTGATGAAACTATCCGGGTAGCTTATGGAACGTTAACTTTATCAATAATAAAACCATCAATTTTATGATTAATGCAAGATTATACAACAGTATAATGAATGTGGCTGAATCGGGACTAACCTTATGATTTACGAAGATCAAACAAAATTTACAAAAGTATAAAATATTTGACTGAATCAGGACTACCATATAACGATCACTTTTATGATTTACGTAGGATTAAACAACAGTATAAAGTATTTGGCTGAATCAGGACTACAGCTTCACAAATATAATTACAGTTCTCCATACATAGACGCTGTTATCAAGGGGATGAAGGAAGTCCGCTTTGATGGTGTTTCGGTGAATACACATTTATTTGAAAGAAAATAAACTATTGATTATGAAAAAGTATTTTACAATATCTGCATGGCAATCTGAGAAATCAGTAATAAATGTAGGGTCTGTTTAATGTTCGTTTGTACTTTGTGGCATCACAATAATTCTGATGGATCATGACCTATCATTATATGTTTACTACAAAAGTATTCATATAAAGCATGCAAGTGGGTGGTTTTAATAAGTGTAGATGATTACGTGAAATTTGTTTGCAGTAAAATTTGGTCGTCGGCAATTGTGTTTTGCTGATTAATCGTTGTAAATTTCAATATTTGAATATTAAACATGCACCATGTTATAGGCAAATATTTTTTGATTCCAATGGTATATATTTTCCCCAATGTAGCATTTGTATTTTTCCCGACATGCTTGCAGAAATTGTGACGTATATTGTTTTCATAAAACTATTGTCGTAAAGAAAAGTTTATTCAAGCATAACGGGAAAGGTATAACATCTGCAATGTAAGTTAGATGAATGAATTTTTAGGATAACATCATTTTGCCGTTATAAATAAAGTTGCAAATTCATTCGCCACTGGAGGAAAATTTATTTATTTTCAAAGTAAGATTCATGTGTGATATGCAAGAAAAAGAAATAAACACTGACTGCTGGCACAGACGGTTTATTTATGTCATGGTATTTTACACGAAATAAGCACATCTTGAAGAAAGTTAAATGTAAAGGGGCTTTCATAGTATCAAAAGCAAACAATAGCTTTATTACAATTGTCTGGAATTATGTTTGGTACTAAATTGTTTTGCAGTTGGTAAAATTTCTTATTTGAAACATTGATTCGTATCATGTTATTTATAAGACCCAGATAATTTAATGAATAAAAATTATTTAATAAAAGATCTTGTTCACGAGTAATTCTTTAGTTAATATTGCCTTTCTCCTTAAATGTACATGAAACTAAACCCTGGTATGAAAAAATCATAACACTATATTGTATACATTTATGTTACTGATGTACTTTTAATCATGTTTAAGGGACCGGTGGCCTTTGATGAGACTGGTAGTCGAGTAGGTGTCAATTTCATTCAACAGAACTTTTGTAAGTATTGTCAACCAATTTCAAGTTTTCAAGTATCATTAAGATCTATGAGCAAATGTAAATCGTTTAGTTTGTTCTTGTCAAGCAAACCTTGAGATAAGCTTGTTCATATTTTATCAGATATATCTCATAAACTTGTTTGCTAAATGATACTGCGTTGTACACATTTTAATTTCAGAACTAATAAAGAGTAATAAAAAAGGAGTAAATAAATCTAATACGAATACGAGGTTAATTTAGCATAAAATATAATACATGGTTATAGCTAGATAAATACAATTTATACAAACAAGTTCAATGAGTTAAAGAAACATTACTAAAGAGTTATAAAAAGGCAAAGGCTAATACTTGTACAATGCTTTTATTGATTTCTAAATTAACTACGGAACCGTAAAATGTCTACAATTTAAATCGTATGAGTCTGAAAAGATTCGCTTTCATTTCTTTGTTACAATATTTGTTGGGTATGCTTAATGATGCATCAAATTGAGACCAACTAAAATAAAGACTAAATCAACAGATATTGAATTTCGTATGTACTGTAATGATAAGAAAGTCATAAAATTTGCGGAAACAAAGAGAGCAACATTAGAAACAATTTTGATGAATTTTCTGTATTTCAAATGTCTAGTAAAATATTTATCCCAGTATATATTTTTAATTTCAATCTCTTTGATAAGCAACATTTATACTTATAATTGTTTAAAGTAAAGCATACACTAACATATATAGATATCATTTTTGTAAAATCAGTATTGTCAAGACCATTTTATAACTTTTGTTAAATAACATGTTTAGATAAGGACACGCGTAATGTGGCCAGCCTTGATGGCACAACAGGTCAGCTGACGTGGCTTGTAGATAGTTCGTCTCTCTGGTCAGGTGAATATTTTCCGTTTTTAAATGTGTAAAATTATGCTATAAAGATACATACAATATTGGTTGAAAAACCTTCATTTAATAATCAGATCAAATTCTCTCTTAGTTTATATGAAATGTTACACGGTCAGATGTAACTTCTTTGCTAGGATTCCTTATCGTAAAGGAACTTCGTGCGACATGAGGTGTTTTCCAAATTTACCTGTTTTCATAAAGAATCCGCTTTAAACAAATATATGTTTGTTCAAAGACAGTCTATTTTAGACTGTTTAATTTCAGGTAAATAACGATCAAAATGTTTCAGAAAAGATGTCAAATTTGAAATTTCACACAAAAAGTATAAAAAGCAAAGTGTGTATATTAGAATAGAGATTAATTTATAATGTACTGATTTCTATATTACTTTTTTCAATCAATTCACACTATTACCCTGACTTTCATAATAATACAAATAGATCTCTATAAAGGTAACGAGATTCCAAAGGACAGATTTATTTATCAAGAGGTGTTAGTACCGCCTAGTAGGATAGCCTTTGGTCTAATAGTTGCCTTGGATTTGGTTGGATGCTTGTTATCGTTGACATTTTTATTTTTCAATATCTACTTCAGAAACAACAGGTGCGTATGTCTTTAGTCTTTACTTCCATAAGTACACCTCATAACATTCATACGAATCTAATCTAAATTTACATTTTTCTCATATGCGGCAAACATCGCAATTTTGACACGATATAAATATTGTCCTGTAACATAATTATAACAACGTCGCAACGTCAACATGACATGCATATGTTTAAACAACATTTATTAATTTAAACAATTAATATCACTACATTGACAACACACAACATGTGTATGATCAGTGCAAAATGTTTAATTTAATTTATGCAGGAAATAGCAAGTAACAGAAAGTTAGGTAATAATAAACTCAGTTTTCCCGGAAGCAACAATTACAATTTCCATAGCAAATTATATTTTGAAAACATTAATATTTTCTTTCAGAGTAGGAATGTTAGAACGTTCTACAGATCCATTTCAATATGGATATCAAGTTAATTACACAATTTTGTGTAAAAACTATGAAATAAAACAACTTATTTTCATGATGTTCTTTGTTGTCGTTTTTTTTATTTGTTGATATTTTTTATTTCGTTACTTTACTTATAATGCAGATACTAAATCAATGTTGAAATCGTGAATTCATGAAGTTGAAATTGTAAATTCATAAAGTTGAAATTATTATTCATGAACGTGAAATCCTGAATTCACGAAGCTAGCCCCATGAAGTTCAAAACGTAAATTCGCGAAGTTGAATTCGTGAAGTTGAAATCTTGATTCATGAAGTTGAAAACGTGAACTCAGAAAATAAAAATTGTGAATTCACGACGATGAGACCGGGATTCTATTACATTTCAGATTTTGTTTTTAAAAAAAATGGCTTATATAATAGCATTTCTTTTTTAAATTCTAATAATGTTGTTGCGCCATATAAATAAGTAATTCGTCTTTTAAACGATTTTTGTGTAGAATTGTTATAGTTATTGCGTTATATTTGAACTGTACTTCTTAACAAATTCACATACAAGTTCACATACAATTTTACGCTGTATGTCAAAGCAATTAGCAACCATTGGAGTAAAAAAGCCAGCAATAGGTAATATCTATAATCAGCAGGATACTATTATCAGAAAAAATCATTTTCATGATGATAGGATTATTTTTAAACTATCTAGTTAAGAGAAACACGCTTACGCTATTTTAATAAATCCAAGAGGATCATTTTATAGTGCTAACTGATAATTTATTGATATCACTGAGGACAATAGTAACTGTTTCTAAACCACTGTAAACAGTTCAATATTTAAAAGAATCTATTGTAATTTTTAATGCAACTTTAATCCCAACAAATCCGATTCATAGAGAAATAATTATATAATACATGTAAATGCATATATCTTATTTGACTTTATCTGACATGGTTTGTTACAGTTTAAAATAAAGACTATGCGCTAGTTTCAATATTTCCAAGTGGAACAGTTAAATAAAATGGAATTTCAATTAAATGTTATTTCATTTTCAGTTCAATGTAGTTCAAATAAATGTTACTTCAATTTAAAACGCTTTTAACCGCAATATGTAATACGTTGACCATTTAGCTTCATGCACTGTTACTAAGTTATTATAATGTTTCTGTCTTGGATATTAAACTATTACTACGATAGTAAAGTGTATACCCGTTTTCATGTCAAAAAGATGATAAGCTATGGGTAGGACGTGTACATACGTATTGTTTGCTGGGAATGGAAAAAAACGGCGCTAAAACGAAGCATACCTTTAATGTCATCATTTTATGAACACGTAAACAGATATTAACGTGTTTTAAATTAAATTCATGAAAAATCAATTTAAAAATTAGTTCAATGTCTTTTCACAAAAATGTTCTAAAGCCGTTTATGAACATGATTCCTTTACAAACTTTAAACTTTTTATTAAAGTGTCTTGTTTTAGTTATTTTATACATTTGTAATAAAATGAAGCAATTAAAAACAAAAATTATAATTTATGTTTATTTTCAGAGGCAGAGTAGAAGAATCAATTTAGTCGGTGAATAATTGATTCAAAGCTATCAGTTTTTGATACAGTTCTTTTTTATATTTTAATGTTCTTGCTGTTGCAGAAATATTTTATTCTTTATCAATCATTTATATGAGAAGTAGTCTTTCAAAATAATTAATACTAATAATTTACATTTTAGATCCATTAAAATGTCTAGTCCAATGGTGAACAATGTTATAATTGCCGGATGCCTGTTGATGTATTTGGAAATTCTTGTAAATGCGATAGACTACCTTAGAAACAAGAATGATTCAATCGGCGACAACATGTGTATGGTAAAGTTGATTTAAATCCTTCAAATTTTAACAACTTTTTTTTTCCTGATTTAGTATATAGACATGTTGAGACAGAACTTTAATTCGAGCTTCGTTCGTACAAGTGAAAACTTAAAATAATACATGTACCGTAGAATATTATGACACTGTTTTCTATGTGTATTCAAATGGGTAAAATAGAAATATGAACGACATTCGAATTTCTTACCTTGATCATACCAACAGTTTGAAGCGCAACCATATTTTCGTTTTTGCTGTGTCTATTTCTTTTTTACAATGCAATATTTATCTTCGAGTAAAATGAGATTTTGCAAAATGTTTCGCAAAGAAACTACAGCGTATAAAACTTAACATAATCAATGATGTCTTTGTACATTTGTTTGCATAATATATCATTGATTTATCTGCGGATTGAGCAATTAATTTATTAACTGACATTTTAGTCTAATTCTATAATAACAAAACATATAATAAATTTCATTAGCATTAAGTGGTCCATAACAACATATAGCTTTGCAAACAATTACAGTGCTTTTTATCAAACTTGACAACTTTGGCCTATTTTTAAAAAAGCACGTCAAATGAAATTTACTGTATTTTTGAATGATTCAACTGTTTTAGATATTGAATTATCATGTAAAGTTAAAGTAAAGTTCAGAGAAAAGTCACATTTTATATGAATATTTTTTTTTATTAAATTAAGAGATTTAGGTACAAATCTTCAAGATGACACAAAAACGTCAATGTATGATGTATCTTTTACAAATAGTGTTTGTTTGATAATTTTAATTGCAGATCAGGACATGGCTTTTATCCTTGGGATTCACATCAATTTTTGGAGCACTTTTCTCGAAAACTTACCGTGTTTATGTAGTTTTCCGAGATTACAAATTGCGTGGGAAGGTATAGACATTTTTTTGTAAATCAGATGGCGTATTTTATGCAAAATATACTGGCACAATTCAGTAATGCTCATGACATAAATGAAATAACCACCATTTCTTCTTAACAGTTAATGAACACTTTGAATGAGAGATTTAATTTTCAGCTAAATATTAAAAAGTCAAGCCATAATTCACGATGAACCATTTTTACCGGAACTAAATAATATGTGACACTTTATTAACCTTTAAATCTATATCTACAAATACCAGACATTAATGTTTACAAAAATGCAAATCCATCTGTTCATAAATGCATTTTATGTTCGATGGTTGAATTTTTTTATTTAAATATCTACCAATGTCATTCAAATGGTTCCGGTTAATTGCATATTTGGGTCAGTCACAAAAGCCAAAATGTATTCCAAATTGCAATCTCTAAAAAGTTAAGCTTCAGAAATCCGTCAAGAGCCTCTCAATCATATCCTTAGAGGAAAATTGAGATCCCCCCATCTCATTGGCTACTTGATTTTACACATATGATACTATAGGCTTCTTGTTTGTCTTAATGTTCATTTGAAAAACAAAATATTAACTAAGTATTTAAAAAAACATTATTATATGGAACATGTTTGCAAACTATGATGAGTTAAAACAGTTTTCAGTTTTTCCAAACTGAAGCTGTGCGCAAAGCGAAAACACGATAATTTGACAAAGTTACTATTTTGTCACGCCAGACGAAAAAACGTAAATACGATAAAGTCTATCTTGGTCGTATTTCAGTTCCGCCGAGCGCCAAGCGAAAACACGACAATATCAACAATTTGTCGTATCCTTGCGTCTTTTCCTAGAGCCCCGCCTAGCAAAAGTACACCAAAAATCGTTACTTTCTTGATTTCATTTTTAGCAGAGTAAAATTACAATAAGTCACAAATCAGCAACCATACTGATCAGACGATAACTTTATTCCTGCTTTTGCTTTGATCGTTGACAATAAAGAATCAAAGTTTTGTTTCATTATTACGAATTTAGCCTTTACTTGGAAAGCAAGTTCATTATAAACAAATTCTTGATATAATAGCCCTATAACTATTTCCGTTAGTGGTGATTAGAAGTAGACAGGATTTACGGAAATATTTTCAAAAAGACTACGATTTTTGATAACCACGAACTATTTTTTTCGGCGAACTTCGTTGTATGAGCTAAATTAGAAACAGAAATGTCTCTTCTAATGATTGACTTAACGGTTTATTTAATATGACATTAAAATCAATCATCAACGGTTATCTTTTTATCTCACTTATTATTAATATTTCAAAGACACATTGTTTAAGAAATAATATATCCCAAACTGTGATTTTATTGCTCAATAACATCACTGTTTGGAGTTCGGATGCGGGGAATTATATCACGAGGGCGTAGCCCGAGTGATATAATGATGCGCATCCGAACGACAAACAGTGATGTTATCAAGTAATAAAATCACCGATTTGGATATATTATTTCGATTCTAACACGATATCAACAAAATAAATGCTGCCGTGCATTATAATAAGCTTAATTGCGGCTGATTTGTTTCCGTACTTATTGTCAGCGCGTCACATTTTAGTTGTTACGTCACGTGTATAATGATTACGTCACATATCTAAATATAGAACGTCAAACAGTGATATTATAGCATAATAACACACACTTTCGGTTCTTCTATGTTCAATAGGTAAAAATGCGGGTCGTGTTAGAATTATTCTTTTCTTTAATTAGAAGATGAAATGTACACTAATTGATGAAGCGAAAACAGCGTGGCTTGAAATCTGTTAAAAATGTCAATACCTAATGGGAGCTACCTGTTGTATTATCAAAAAAAGTTAATATTTCCTTTGCTTATTGAATATTTTGTTTTGCTTTAAAGAATCAGGTACTTTACACATGACATTTTCAGAATCATTGACAGAGTTCGTTATAAGAATTGTTGACTTTTTTCAACCATCTGCTTTACCTGACATTTGATCTACCCTTTAAAAGGCTAACAGTATCACACACTTGTCTACATGGTTTCAACAAGGCTGGCAAATGTATATTAAACAAAATTAAAGAAAATAAATTATTTCATGCTTTCCAGTGTTTTATTGTAATATATCAGATGATTATATTCTGATAAACCACTAGTGAAATTTATAAAATATAATTTTCACTGTAGCCGGACTATATCTGAATGCGGATGAAAAGAGAATCATAACTAAATGGAATAACAGGCAGAGATAAATGCTGTCATGCGTAAATTTTGCTTCTTTAGGGAAAGAAAGTCGATGTCACCATACATCATGTTAAAAATGTAACAAAATTAGAGAAATTTAACAGAACTATATTTCAAAATTGATGATGTGACGTCATGATGTGTTCACGTCACAAAGGAGAATGCGCGACGTTACGCGGCAAAATCTGTAAAAATACTTAAAATCACTTAAAAATCATGAAATAAAAAGAAAATTTAGTTGTTTTACATGTAAGATTGAAATATATTTCATTCGTGAACACCAGCTATTATATTTTCACTCGTGGCTACACCACTCGTGAAAATATTGCATCTGGTGTTCACTCAGTGAAATTATATTTCAATCTTACATGCAAACAAACAAATATCCTCTATGTAATCATAAAAATCAACTTAATAATTATGATGGTTTATCTTGTATTTGCAAGTCTTTGCTGATATCACCTGTTACAAGTAAGTCAATAAAACAATCAAAAACAGTCACAAAAAAAATTTAATTGAAAGCATTCCTCGTAATAATGTTGTGTAAAAGGATAGATTGGTAAAATGTTTGTTATAAAATATTTTGACAAAATATATGGCCCTACATAAACGGTTGTTTGAAAATGAACCCAAACCAAAAGCCATATAATATTTCAAAAATATTTATAACGAATTTATAATCAGCAACCTTCCTTTTTGAGATTTCTGCATAAATTGACATCAGTCGTGTATATAAAACTGTGTAATACTGCACGTTTGTAACGTCGCTTTTCATTGGATAATCTAATCGTGACCTTTATTTAGTTTTATAATATACGGCTGCTGTCAATTTATTAAGAAAACTTACCCTTTCGTCTAAAAGATCAAGTTCACAGCATTATAAATTCGTTATAAATATTACTGACAGGTTATTTGACCGTATTTAAACGGTTGTTTGCAATATAACACTCGCCTTGTGGCTCGGGCTATATTTCAAACAACCGTTTATAAAGGGCAATATAACCTATCAAAAATCTTTATAACTAATAATATAAACGGTTGTTTGGAAAAATATGTGTACAAGTATATAAAACTATATAAATGTCACGATTAACCAATAACAAGCTACGTTACAAACGTGTAGTATTATAACAAAAAGCATGTAAACGTTATGACTGTCCAAAAGCAACGTTACAAATATGCAGTATTGTAGTATTTGATACATTATGTTTCATTTTATAGGCAATCAAAGACTACCATCTATTTGGAATGATTGGCACCATGCTTGTTGTTGATTTGTTGATTTTGATTCCCTGGACAACGTTTTTTCCTCTTGTCAAAGCAAAAGTTTCAAAGAATGCTATGGTAAGGTCATATCTCATTTTAGCGAAAACAGAAATGTACTAGTATTTTTAAAACAGAAAATGCTGAAGTTTGAAATATACCCAGTATTTGAATTCCATTATGTGACTTGCTTTTGTTTTTAAATAAATGTAGTAATAACTCTTTAATTTGCAGAATGATCCGTAAGAACTATATTAATGCATAGAATACTTGAATTAATTTAGTTATTTATTATCTTTATTATTAAAGAAATGTCAAATGTGTTTAATAATAATAATGATATATAATTGATTGAGAGCAAGTTAAATGTTTAAGAGCTTGAGAAAGTAGACAGATTGGCAGCAATGTGTCGTAAAGGTAGCAAATTGTAAAAAAAGTAGTATTTTGACTTCAATACAAAATATTTATTCACTTTAATAATACGAATTTCCAACAAAGCAAATGATACAAAGGTAGTTCATCTATACGGCAATTGTTATAATTAATAATATAAACGTCGCGTTTATGCAATGAAAAACGGGTTACAAATAAGTATTGGTTAAATTTAATGTTAATGACTTTTTATGTAGGATGTTCGGAACAACAACATGATATATTCGGAGAGCTATCTTCATTGTTACAACGTCACCACTGCTTATTGGATAGCCGCATTATATGTCTATAAAGGACTTCTTCTAGCTTTTGGAACGTTCTTAGCATGGGAAACTCGTCAAGTCACCATTCCTGTTCTGAAGGACTCCAAGTTTATAGGCGCTTGCATTTATAACGTTGTCATTGCGTGCGTATTCGGGGTTCCTCTGGCACATGTTCTCCCTATAGAACAAAAGACATTGTCGTTTGTGTTAGAGTCATGCTTACTTTTCTTCTGCACAACTAGTAGTCAGTGTATCATTTTTATACCTAAGGTATAGCTTTTACATTTTTACTCTAGCATGTATGTATTCTATGCTAAATGAGGGTCCTTCCTTCCTTTCAGGCACTGAGAGTACGGACGCCAAGCTTGTCGCCATTTAGCTTACCTGAGCAATGCTCAGGGTGAGCTATTGTGATGGCCCTGTGTCCGTCGTCGTGCATCGTGCGTCGTGCGTCGTCAACTTTTGAACATTAACAACATCTCCTCTGAAACCAATGACTGCACATCAACCAAACTTTACAGAAATGATCCTTGGGTGGTCCCCTTTCGAAGTTGTTCAAATGGTTCCGGTCTGTTGCATATGTAGGTCATAGGGCCCGAAAAGGATTTCAAAAAACACAAAATTAAAAAATCTTCTTGTCTGAAAGTACATGGGCCAGAGCTTTGATTTTTGGTATATGGTATCATCTATGGGTCATCTACCAAAGTTGTTCAAATTTTATTCCTAGTGTCAATATTGGCCCCGCCCCGGGGGGTCATAGGTTTTTCCTTATATGTATATAGTAAAATCTAAATAATTTCTTCTCTGATTTGGCAAAGGCTACAGATTAGATATTTGGCATGAAACATTGTGTAGTAGACCTCTACCAAGATTGTTCAAATAATGGCCCCGGGGTCAAAATTGGCCCCGCCCTCGGGGTCATTGATTTTCATTATATACATATAGTGAAAACTTGAAAAATCTTCTGGTCTGAAAGTAAATGGCATAGAGCTTTGATATTTGGTCTATGGTATCATCTATAGGTCCAAAACCAAAGTTATTCAAATTTTGTTCCTAGAATTAAAATCGGCCCCGCCCCCGGGGGTCATTTATTTTCCCTATATGCATATAGTAATAACTTAAAAAATCTTCTTTTAAAGAACCCAAAGAGCTAGAGCTAAGAAATTTAGCATGAAACATCTTCTAATGAGTGTCTATCAAGTTTGTTCAAATAAAAGCCCTGGGGTCAAAATTGGCCCCGCCCCAGGGGGTCATAGATTTTCCCTATATGCATATAGTAAAAACTTATAAAATCTTCTTTTAAAGAACCCAAAGAGCTAGAGCTAAGATATTTAGCATGAAACATGTTCTAATGGGTGTCTACCAAATTTGTTCAAATAAGAGCCCTGGGGTCAAAATTTGCCCTGCCCCGGGGGTCATTGATTTTCCTTATATGTGTAAAGCAAAAACTTTTAAAAAAATCTTCTTTGAAAAAAAAAACAAATAGCTAGAGTTTTGTTACTAAGCATGAAACATCTTCTAGTGAGTGTCTACAAAGTTTGTTCATATAAAAGCCCTTGGGTCAAAATTGGCATCGCCCCGGGGGTCATTGATTTTATTTATGTGTATAGCAAAAACTTAAAAATCTGATTTAAAAAAAACCAAATAGCTAGAGTTTAGATATTAAGCATGAAACATCTTCTGGTGAGTGTCAAATGGGGTCAAAACTGGCCCCGCCCTAGGGGTGTCATTGCATTTAACTATATGTGTATAGTTAAATCTTAAAAAATCTTTTTTTTTAAAAACTCAACGAGCCAAACCTTAGATGTTTAGCATGAAATATCTTCTTATGGGTGTCTACCAAGTTTGTTCAAACAAAAGCCCTGGGGTTTAAACTGGCCCCGCTCTGGGGGTCTATATACAGGTGAGCGACTTCAGGGCCATCATGGCCCTCTTGTTACTTTAACCCAAAAGTAACTTGTTAATAAACCACTTTAATGTTTTGGATATAACCAATATGGGTGTCATAGCATAAACAGGGTCATGACCCAAGTTGGTCTCGAACTCTTGATATCTAAGTTAACAAACAGAAACCTTAAGCACTAGACAACTGCTCTACTAAGGTAAAGCTGGAATGTTTTTTTAATTTATTAGTTACGATGCCTATGATTTTTGTTAGGATTGTTTAGCAGACACTACTCAGATGTTGTTTAACATTCTCCAGAATTTGAATTGCTATATAAGATGTTTGAGTGCTTAGATTGTGTGAAAGTAAATGATTTATAAGATCTTGAAAATTATGCAGAATGTTTATTGACAACAAGTGATCAATTGCCTATTACTATTAGTCATTTAATTGTTTTAACATTTATCTGTCAATCAAATCCTTTTTGTTACTTTAACGGCTGATTCCAGGATTTTTGTTTATGTTTTTCCTTTTTCTTTCAGATAAGGCTTCGAAATCAAGTTCACGGAAAGTTTTTAACATCTCATGTGCCAACAGAGGCAACCGGCTCTACAATAAGACAAACAGGTTTGATCAAATTCATTTAAATTAAAGTTTGTTTCATACTTAATTTCATGACAGATCTGTGCATCATAGATTTATACATCTGATTGAAATACAATGAAATTTAGATTGATTTCTAAATCGATATCGCAATTTATAATTCGTATCATTTGTTTTAAATATTATACTTGAATGTTTAAACTATTTAACTAAGAAGTAAAACAAACAAATATATTGAAAGCAAAATACTTAAAGCATGAGGACCATAAAATTCTGCTTAAATTCGACACCTGTATTAGCAAGGTAAATTTTGTTCAAGTGTATCATAAGGTATAGCAAAACTGAAATACGTCTTTTTTTACGAATGGGTAGCAGTTTATATAAATATTCAAATTTCCTTTTACATTGGAGAAATTAAGATTGAACTTTTATTACGAAATATTCACTATCTGAAAGTTGTTCATCTAATAGGAACTCCACTGAAGTCCAAAGGCATACAACATTTCATATGAATTTATTTCATAGATAAGCAGAATCACTTCAAACATAATTATGAAAAAAAAAAGAAATATATTAAGAAATAAATTGAAAAGCGTAAATATATCAAAAACTAAATTGAAAAAAATGTATTCTTGTGCAACACTTCACCTGATTTGAGTGAAAAACGTTTCAGCGCTTTTCATTTTTTGATCATTTTTGACAATTAAAATAATCATTCTGAAAACGGAGTGAACGAATGGTCTGGAATTATGCATACACGTTATTGATCTTCATCTTCTGCATATGGAACAATAATCTCGTAAAATATTTCCAGCTCTGTCATGTCAAAAATCCTCAGAAAGAAATGATTTCATTTCATTGTCTTTAAGGTATCAATCCGGAGATATGTGATTATAACTGTGACAACAATAAAACCACTGCCGAGCTGAAGGATGAAAACGCCAAGCTGCGACTGGATATTGCTAATGTATAAATTTCTGTTCATACATCTTTTGTTTTTCTAACATGTACGCGCGCATTTTTATTGTTTTGTTTTTTTTTGTTTTTTTTTCTTTTCGTTTGTTTGTTTGTTTTTTTTTTGTTTTTTGAGAGGGTGTTCATGCTTAAAGAGGGCGTTCATGCTTAAAGAAGGTAAACATTTAAAGTTGCATAAAATTTTACAGGACAATGTATATGATTTTCAGAAGCTCATATATTTGTAACATTTTGGAGAGAATCTGTACCGTTTTAGCATTTGCATTAAATATTAACGTACATTTATTTGTACATGTTACCTTTAGGGTATTCCCTTAAGTTGTCAAACACGTACTTCGATTATAAATATAATGCTTATTTGTGTGAGGGTATTTCTCTCCTCGTTATAAATAAAATATTTGTAATTTTGTAATAACACATTTTGTTAACGAAATTCTTATTAGCGTTAATTGGCTAAACTTTAATTTATAAATTCAGAAGCAAATGTTTACACCATTGTGTAAACATATTTCCGTAACGATACAACAATTTTAGCTAAGCAATTCAAGGAAAAATGTAGATGGATATATCGTGTTTATGCACTTGCATAAGATAAGAATTTATATATTATTTTCTTCATAAACATTATTTATTCTAAAACCTTCACCCTCTATTAAGATTTTCAACCCCCTAAAATTAAAATCATTTTGTCGTTTCACAGTCCACCTGTTATAAAATCTTCCAAAAATTAAAAAATAAATCTGTTTTAGGTTAGTTAAAAATGGAAGCACCCCGTACACTTTTCAGATGTTTGTAATCTATATTTCAGGAGTCCATAGCCATAGCAAGATTAAGGAAATCGATTCTTAACATGACTGGAAATGTGCACTTCTATAAGAAAGGAACAGATTACGTTCTCTTCAAAAGTAATGGTCCAAAATTGGTGGGAAACATGTGTCTTAACAGCGTTCCAGACCATTCTGTTTAAACGATTCAGCTAATTTCTTTCAGAAAATATTAGGTTATTACAAAACTTATTTTTGAAAATGTTTACAACTGAATATTTTATCGATATTTATCATATGGCAACATGAAACAAAAAGAAGATGATTCAATGTTTGTAGTACAAAATTAGCGCGTTCATCTGGTAAAAAAATGAAAACGGACAAATAAACCCTGCCGGACAAAAGGCATCCCGTCCAAAAATGACCAGGCGGACAAATACCCACCCGTGAAAATGGCATGGCAGACAAAAGCCCTTTCGTGAAAATGACAGGGCGGATAAAAGCCATTCCGTGAAATTAACAAGGCGGACAAAAGCCCTCCCGTAAAAATAATATTGAATAACCATTTTAGATGTTTACAAGTCAAGAAAGGAGCGCCGCTGAGGTCTAAAAATCTAAAAACATAAAATTTGAATTCCATAATGATTCATTAATCATCTAGGACATTTGAAGCAGAAAGATATTCAAAAAGATAATTAAGAAATATAGTAAGAATTAAATTAAAAAAAGTATTATGGTGCCAATTTGAGTCTGATTTGAATTTCAATTTAGAGTTAGTTTTCATAATACAAAATAATTACTCTGAAAAAAATGCAATTTTTTTTTACACAGGTTATGGGTCTACACCTTCATTTAATAAAAAATTATTCTCGAAAAAAATTTCAAGTCCCGTTAAGTCAAAAAATTTCACTGGAGTCCCTGTATGTTTACGGTAAAACAAACATGACAATTTGTTACTCAGTGTTGTAAGATCTACATTTTATTTATATAGACGTAAAAGTTAAAAAAGGATTACAGAACAGAACAGTCATTTTATTAGACCTATAAAAAGTATATATATCATCTAAATACATTACCATCAATCTACAAGTTGTTAATGTAATAGCATTGAATTTATTTCTATATATCTGAATCATAAATTTTAAAATCATTCTACATGAAGAAGCAAGATATGACATGTAAAATTAAAAAAATATGATTTTTTGAGTTTTGAAATAAATGTGTTGAATTTGTCTTGTTTTGTTGTCATTGCTTTTTTGCATGTTTCCTCGATTATTTGGGGGGAAAAGTGATGAAATCTTCATATTTTAAGAGTTGTCTAAAATAACAAAACATAAATGTATAAAAAAGTGTAAATTTGACAAAACGATTTTTTCGAGTTGAAATGTCTTAGGGGTCTATGTGTAATTGCTCGAGATGTATTTGGTGTCAACTGTTTGTACAATTATCAGATAGTTCACTTTACCGACAATTGCTAAATATAGCTAGTTCACTATACCGACAATTGCTGATCCTGTTGACCACAATGTTTGCAAGAGCAATGTTTGCCTTTGTATCAGTACTTCTAGCGCGTGTTATCTTCGACAGGTTATGTCTTAGCTTATAGACCTTTTTTACGACACAGTCCGTTGATATGAAAAATCGTTTATCGCATATGTGTAATCTGTGTAGAGCAAAAAGAGCATCGCCCTACATAGAGATATAGTAGAAGTTTATAGACAATCCAGAGTTAGTTTAGGGTAGAAATAGTAAATAATAGAAACAAAAACACAAAAGACGCCTTTATAGCTTCATGGCCAGTTTGCCATAAAAAGGTATAGAACAGATGAGTGTTTAAGAATTCTCTCTTACGATCACGGACCAGACATTGCCATTTACATTAGGAAATATAATATCTATTAGCAAATAAAGAGGTCAACTGAATTGTTCTTGAAAAACTTCATATAAAAACTAAATACATTTTAATAATATATGAAATCGAGGTTAATTATCATTCTGAAACAAAGTTAGAACATGACATCTTAAAAGGGCATGTTAGACCCTTATAATTTCGTTTTCTATTATATACAAATTAATTAAAGTTTTAATTACTTATTGCTTTATGTAATACGAATTTACATAACTTGCGCATGCGCGGAATGCAACATTCGTTACTATGGAAAATCGTATTGTAAAAACGTCTATATGGATCTTAGTCTACCTAATTTTTGAGCGCAGTGAAAATTCTTACATACTTAACAAGAGCTGTCGGTAGGACAGCAACGCTCAACTATTCTTAGTGCTTGATAGTAAAAAAAATGCTTGATACAGCTACCTCCTCCTGTTTACAGGTTGGGGTCATGATGTAGAACAAGTGTGCAAAGTTTCAAAGCCATATGTCTATGGACTTTGAAAATATTTGAACTATTACAAAAACTTTAACGTAAATTCTAAGTCGAAAAAGGGGCATAATTCTGTCAAAATGCTTGATAGAGTTACCTCCTCCTGTCTACAGGTTGGGGTCATGATGGTGAACAAGTGTGCAAAGTTTCAAAGCCATATGTCAATGGACTTTGAAAATATTTGAACTATTACAAAAACTTTAACGTAAATTCTAAGTCGAAAAAGGGGCATAATTCTGTCAAAATGCTTGATAGAGTTACCTCCTCCTGTCTACAGGTTGGGGTCATGATGGTGAACAAGTGTGCAAAGTTTCAAAGCCATATGTCTATGGACTTTGAAAATATTTGAACTATTACAAAAACTTTAACATAAGTGGTTACGCCGACGCCGACGCGGACGCCGACGCCGACGCTCGGGTGACTGCAATAGCTCTACTTATTCTTATCGAATAGTCGAGCTAAAAATGAAACAAACATCAACTTAGAAACTATAGTACCGAATTTAATGTTACAAACAATTTAAGCATTGCACAAGTATATTGGTCAGTGTATTCATGGTCTTTCAAATTTAATACTATTTGAAAGGCCCTGGTGTATTTGAGTCCATGTAGTTCAATACTTATTAAGTTTGTCACTTGTTAAGCAATTTTGCACAACGCATTTTATAGGATATTACAGAGGAAATATCAAATCCATGAGATAAAACTACGGGGAGCCATTAGTGACAAAAAAACTTACATGTTCCTATAAAGTATAAATAAGAAGCGTCTTTTATTAATTAGATTAAAGATCGTCGTGAATCTATAAGATTCAGCGAAAGATATTGATTGTCCGACTTAAACCACACATTAAAAATTTCAGAGATGACCAGAAAGAATATGTTCACCTTAGCATGAAACACAGTGTTGCATTTTTAGGCAAACGTGAAATTATTATTAGATTAAAGCTCATTACAACTTAATATTTTGGAAGCTTAAAATAAAACAAAAAAACACGATACTACGCATTTCAAAATTCAAAATTTATGAAATATACGAAATTGGTTGACCTTTCGATCTGTAAAACTCAACCTTCACATATGCCAGTTTTGTTTGTACATGTACTACATGCCTACTTCAAAAACTGAAGTTTCAAAGCTATCAAAAAGATTAGGTCCCCTAGTTTTGGACGGAAAATGAAGCCATGGCACAAGAAATTAACATTGATTACCTTACAAAAAAATGTATTATATAATGTACATTTCAATAGCGAGATGACTTTTTAAACTCAAAGTCAGAAGATTTTTTCATTGTTATGGATGAACGAATCCAATGCAACTTGAATTTCCCAGAAAAATAATGTCTAAAGATGAGCAATATTCGCAGCGGTCTTTATCGACTGTTGAAATGGCATGATAAAAACATGATATTCCATACTCGTAATGTTTAAATTAAGATATTATTGCACGTGACTGCTACATCAGAATATGATTTTAGGAAAATGGTTTTTAAAAGTACTAACTAATAGGTATATTCAGTGTAATAACGCGAGGTTAATCAAAAGACGAATTTTTACCTAATTTTCTATTTGTGTTTTTAGTTCGACTTTCAGTAATTAATAATCTATAATACACATCATGTACAGCTAGTATATTTGGTAACACTACGTATCTTGCGAGATGAATGAGGTCGTTTAATGATACTGCATCGCTTTAATAAAAAGAATCAGTAATAAATACCTGTAACCATCATTTAATTAGAACCAGCAAGCGTGGTAATGTGAGTATAATTAACAATTAAGCAATTAGTATGTCCATGAAAGACTGGTTGATCACTACTGGTGACGCTACTAGGTCATGTGACCTACGCGCAACTAGGTCACGTCAGTAGATCTAATTATCTACACTCTTCTAGGTCAAATAATATTTATGTTGGAAAACAGTTTAATTAAGATTCATTCTAATTATGAAAAAAGAAACATAAAGGTTTGGCATAAGTAAGTCCGTAGTATAAAAATATAAATATTTTTTTTGTTTATGTCATTGTTATTAACTGCAAGTTGTACACGTTATAAATAGAGAACGTTTTATAATCAAACTATAGTTCTTTTCCATTATAATTGACTACAAGTTGTTGGCGTTATTAAAAGAGAACCGTTTATAATTCAGCTAAAGTTCTTTGCAAAACTTTTTAACTACAAACTATTTTTTCAGATTTCCAACAATTTCTAACATTATTGCTATTTTTTTATAGCGAATTTGACAGTTAAAACAATGTAATATTAAAGTTATTACTTATTCTAACACGACCCGCATTTTTCCCTATTGAACATAGCAGAACCGGAAGTGTGTGTTATTATGCAACAAAATAACTGTTGACGTTCTATATTTAGACTTGTGACGTAATCATTATATACATGTGACGTAACCACTAAAAATGCGACGCGATGAAAATAAGTGCGGAAAAAATCAGGTGCAATTTAGCTTATTATAAGGTACGGCAACATTTATTGTTCATGTCGTGTTAGAATCGAAATAATATATCCAAATCGGTGATTTTATCGCTTGATATAATCACTGTTTATCGATCGGATGCGCATCATTATATCACTCGGGCTACGCCTTCGTGATATAATTCCTCGCATCCGAACTCCAAACATTGATTTTATTGAGCGTTAAAATCACTGTTTGGATATGTTATTTCTTAAATAATATTATATTAACGTTAAAAACGAAGCTTGCTTGTTAATAAAGCTGGTTGATATATCTTAGTTTATTTTATATGAATTTGTTTTAGTCCGATTGTGTTGGGATTTCTCAGCTGACACTTTATAGCTACTGATTTAGTTAAAACATGACAACGTTTTCTCTGCCTGTTTAAATGATATCGTTAGATGATCTTTAGTTAAAGTTATAAACAAATC